ACTAATTCAACTAAGTGCAATGACCAGCTGTTCATAGATCTATCTGGAAATGAACAGGACATGTTCTATTCAAATTGCTCAGATGTTGAGTGTTCAGTATAATGGGAGTGTAGACTTTAGGCAGTTAAATATTATCACAGAATCACACCCAAGATTAGTTACAGCTTCTCTTTTACATCTCTTTTGCTTCCGTCTATAGATGGGAGTCAGATGTTCTCTTTTCGTTGTTCGGACATACATTTCAGCTGTTGAAGCTCTGTCCTTGCTTCGATTAGTTAACTAGTCAAATTACAGATGGCTGCATCTGGAACGCACACCATACATCATCTAGCAAAATCCACACCCCAACCCTTTAATTAATCTACCAAGACCCCATCATGAAATTATCAGCATCCTCTAAATCGGTCATTGATTCCATACTATTTGCCATACCGACCCCTCCGGACACTTGCATGGGCGACTACTTGGCTGCACCCCGAAACGTGGAGGCTCTTGCATAGCACTAGTTATGAGACACCAGCCGATACATCTCCAACTTCACCATTGTCAGACCTCACCACATCCGCTTCAGTCCATGCCCGAACGGCGTGAGATGGGAGCATGGACATCCCAAAAGAGTTTCTGGGCGGTTTGACATCGGGATCTATTGGGAAAACCCTTGACGCTCAAATCTCACCTCTCATTCATGCGGGAATTTAAACTATGACTTCTGCCCCTCCTGGAACCTCTGATACTTCTAATTCCTTTCTCCCTCTCTCATTCAAGAATCAAGCGTCTGCATATTTCTCTGTCCTGTTTCTCTAATTATCTTCTTTTTTTGTTCCTTCTTTTTTTTTTTTTTTCAATCCTCCAGGGAGCTCAAAAATTCCATTCATTCACTCAGCTTTTCAATTTCCATTTCACTTTCACGAGCAGGACCTCGTCCGATCATTTATAACACAATATATCTTACGCTTTATTTATTTTTAACCAAACTTGACATCTTAATAATTCTGCTTTGGTTCTTGTTTTCCTTGACGAAGTATACAGGAAAAGGACAAACAAATCTTAAACAATGGCACGATTGCTCGCTTTAACTTCGTTCGTAGCAGCAGCTGCTGCAACCAATCACGCTGGAGAATCACCAGGTCTTCCGTTTGTTCTGGGGTACGGAAGCCACAAGGGTTTGGGTGCCGATATTAATATCGGTCACGGAGGCAAAGATAAAGGCTTCGGAGGCCATAATGACGGTTTTCTCAACGGTGGCCAGCATGGAGGTATCATTGGTGGTGAAGGAAAGGGCGAGTATAAAATTGGTGGTAATGGGCACAAAGGCCAATCCGTCAATGTGATTATCATCACAACCAATGTTGGTGGGGGCGCAAAGCAAGATGTTTGGAACGAGGCTCCAATGCAACGAGGAAAAGAGCATTTTGTGCGTAATCACTAAGACACCCTCCCCCTGGATGCCAATATGTCACTTACCCCATTGTCTCCAATACAGATTACGGTTGGGGGCGATGCTGGTCTTATATTCGAGCCAGATACCATAAACGCTGCCGTCGGGGACATGGTTATCTTTAATTTCATGTCTCAAAACCACACTGTAACGCAGTCCACCTTCACCGAACCATGCTCCAGAATGGCCGCGGGTATCGACTCGGGATTCATGCCAAATCCCAATAATTCCGTGAACCCTGCACCAACTATGGAATTCCAGGTTACGATGCAAGAGCCGGTGTGGATGTTTTGTTCCCAAGGAAAGCACTGCGAGCAAGGGATGGTATTTAGCATCAACCCTACAGCCGAAAAGTCGCATGCCCAGTTCAAAGAGCTCGCCATGGCCGGCGAAGGTGGTGGCGTCAGTGTCAGTGCTGGTGTTGGTGCTAGTGCTGTCCCTCCTTCTCTCCCCGCGGAAACTGGCATCGCCTCTCCACCCATTGTTTCTATCTCTGAATCCATATCTGCTTCTATCCCACTGGCTACACTCGCCACTGGAAATGGGCAGATGGGATCTGGAGATGCTTGCTCTTGCTCATGTCTTTGTGGCATGGCATCGTGGCCTGAGGGAGTCGGCCTTGAAGCCCAGGGAGGCATACCTGGTATGTTTCAATCAATCAAAACGGAATGATACAACTCTAACTAATAAACCCCACGCAGGAACTATCCCCATGGAACGTACTGCGGCCAAGCGGTCTCCTAGGGCCCCCTATTACTAGCCTTCTGAACAGATTTGTCAGATTGCTCTAGCTCCCAAATGATATATGCAAATGAGAGCGAAAAGAAGAGGGGGAAAGATGACCCTGACGCCTCCCCTTTGGTGCATCTTACCGACATGAGTTTCGAGGGAACAAGTGCCAGACAGAGCATTACGTTGGGGAAGAGGTGTGAAATTTCCCTATGGGGAAGGGTGGCAACTTCTCTTCTTCGACTCGATCTGTTTCTGATTCTAATGAGCTAGGAATGCTCCAAATTTTGCCTTCGTTTTGCTTCGTCGATGAGGAGAGTTTCGAGGCGAGAAAAAAAAAAAAAAAGGATATTTCGACCCCTTCTCCCCATCCCATCCTGCAGTTCTCAATTCTTGTAATAGAAAACCCGACGCGTGGCAATTCCCCAAAATTTTCTTACATCCTTCGAAGGTTTCCTTTTTTGCCCTTTCTTTCTTGTTACCACGCATATGTATATATATTTGCATGCGTATGTGTGTGTGTGTGTGTGCGTGTGTGTGTGTGTGTGTGTGTGTGTGTGTGTGTGTGTGTGTATTTTCTGTTATCGCCCATCATTATCGCTCATGAGTCATTATTTATATATTTTCTATCCTGCTCTTGCTAGTTTTCCAATCTCACGATGATGTATTTAATTTACGTTCTATACAAAAAACGCGGCCTGGGTCCTCGTCACTTATATAAGATATTATACTCTTTATACATACATCCTTGTACAATATTTGTCTTACTCGTGCATTGCTACGGGATGATAACCCCCAGAGAGTTACACTGAAATTGGTCCCTTTTCCCCCTTTCCCACATGGAAGACAGTTAGAGAATCAAGTTGTATCCCCGTACACGTACATCTATCTGCTTCCTGGAGGCCGAGTTCTTCACTCAGTTGCCGCTACAATTGCTAAATATCTAATATCTAACACCTGTAATAATTGATAATTACCCCTCCAAATGAAAGAAGTTGAAGACAGGAATGCCATATGAATATTTAATGATGATACTATGTAAATTTCAGGATCATTTATAAATATTATCAAACGAACCCTGAAGGCTGCTCAACGAAACACTATGTATTGAATATCTTGCTCTAGGAATATCTTTGGTGGTGGTGCAGCTAGGAGGGTTAAATTATCTCCACAAATGTCACTGATACAGGTATTTCTTGTAAATGAATGGTATCAAAGGAATATCAGTGAAAGGCAGATAATCAATTTGTTGCTCTCGATAAAGTTATATTATCAACATCGCGAACAACTGTTCAGTATATAACCAAGTAAGAATGTATCTAACTCCGTTTGACACGTCATGCTCCACTGAAAACTCTGAGAAAGAAATAAGGCGACGCAAGACAAGAGAGAAAAACAAAAAGGTAAGAAGTAATTGCTCCTACCTTTTGCAGGATTTTTGTTGTTGGCATGACTTTTGACCTCGAGACATCATTGTGAAGGACGGACGAGACTTCGATGATGCCGTGTTATCCTAGGCCCTACTGGGGGGCGGCGATCATAGCAAGGTATCCTGTGGAATTTATTTAAGGAGCTATTCCCAGGCCTCGGCGAGGGGACCGGGTTATTCGTCATTCGAGGCTAAAAAGCGATGTTAGTTGTTCGCTTTGACCAGGCAGTTAAAGCTGACATTTCCCATCGGTTCCAAGGATCGTTCATAGGAGCTTGAGGCTGAAGGTC